CTGTATTTAAAATGAGGGAATGTAGCTAATTTGGCACTTTCTACCATTCAAAGAATATTCACAAACATAAACTCATTTACTCTCACAATTTTTATGTTAGGAGGGCAAGCAATGCAATTTTTCTTCTATCCATTTTACAATTTACAATACTGAGGTTGAGATTATGTGTTTTATTATGACACCAAAAAGATACAAAATGGCAGAGTACATTGAAAACTCAGGTCTTCTTAACTATGAAACACTGTGAACAGAACCTATCTTTGCTTTGTTTCATAAACTGAACAGCTTCTGTGTAGTAAAAGTGAAAGAGTAGTGATCTACCCCCTTCTAGAACTGTGTTTTTTACTCACAATTAAATGTCAAATTGTTTTATTTATATAACAAACGTGGTAAAATGTCAAAAATTAGTGAATCCAGCTGAAGGACATATGATAGCTACTTGTACTATTCTTGCAGGTTTTTGTAAGTTTTAATTCTGTAAATTTTTAGAGATGAAGCTTAAAAATATGAAGGTATAGTCAGATAAATGCAAACTGAATAAACTGCCAACTAAGGCACCAGACACAATTTACACATATAAACTTTTAGAGTTGAAAAGTACCTTGGAAATTATTTATTTTAAATCCCTTATTTTACAGCTGAGGAAACAAACCTAAAGTTTAATGTTAATGCTATTTGTTAATATTAGAGCCTGGTCTAGAAATCTGAGGTGTCCCCAAACCCTTGCTCTCATCCTGAGTTTCCTCTTTTTGTAGCATAAAGTTTCTCCAAAAAAATTATTGGATTAAAAACAACTTCTTTGGCTCCTGGAAGCCAAGGAAGATTCTATATTGTTAAGAATATTCTCAGACTGAAGTAGTGAAAAGAACACATGTATGTTTGTATGACAGAGATACAGATATGGATCTGATAAGGATACAGGTAACAGTGTTCAACTGGGTTAAAGAGAACTCAAAGACAGTTTACCTACTCCGTTGTAAGCAGTTGCTCCTCAAGCTCTTCAGAAAATTGCAGAGGAAAATTAATTTGACATTTTTTCTTTATCACGCTGCAAAATAGTTAAGAGTGGCCAGCAGATGCCACTGTTGTCAGTTGTAAATAATTTTTCACATTTCAAATAAAGGAGATGAGTCATTACAGAAGGAAATAGGATAAGTGTAACAAAAATAATCATGTTATCTTAAAAAAATGTAACAAAAGTAATGCATTAATTGGATCTTATTATTTACCTTTAAGCAAAACATTTAATTAGACACTTGTCAGATAAAAGATATGAGCTAACTTGTTAGAAAAAAATTAACAAGGAATACTGTAAGTCTTCTATGTTTGAAAAGAATAATCATGTTTAAAAATTAGAAGTTGATGCAATCACCGATGTTGACTAATAGCTATATTTAATAGCCAAGATATAGCCTACCTGATGAGTGACATCAAGGAAGAGTAAAATAAAACATCAATTCTATTCTTTTTTGTTACTATTGAGACATTATAAAAATAGTTTTGTATTTCTCAAGCCTACACTCAATGGTGAATAAGCTGTTACTACAAAATTGACTGTTAATTATGTTACTCTCTTATATTTCCATCAATAGTCGTAGTGTTAAGTATTTTTAAAATAATTTAAAATATATAAATTAAAGCAGACCTACATGGCCTATTCCATGAGAAAAAATATGATGGCTATTGTTTACTTCTAGGCTGGCCTCCCAAATTCCACAGTTGAACATGATTGATCACTCCTGGAATCCCTGTATCTTCCTGAACATATTTTTGGGATGACTCTTCACTTCTTTTAAAACATCAATCCCACCAAAAATCTGTAAATTATAGTTCAAATAGATTTTTTCATATATTTTCATGTGGATTTGAATTGCTGAATATTTTAATTAATTGACAAGAAAATATTAAATCTATGCTATATTCAACACTCTGATAGTTGCTGTGAGGGATTCAGAAGAGAATAAACATAGTTTCTGTTCTTAAGCAAAGAATACAGTAGAATAAAAAGAAAGGTTTTATGTGTGGACATATATGTACTATGCTAAATGTTTCTGCTGTTACATAAAATGATGTGTAAAATGGTGAGGTTTCATAAGATTGTTGTAAAGATTAAATTAGATAAGGACTAAAGTATCCGTATCTAATTTAATCTCTCAATATCAAGCACAAAATAGTGGCTAAGCCAGTGTCAGTTTTCACTCAAATAACTGTCTTGGAGAGCAGATAGAGTGAGTGTTCAAAACCCTAATCAAATACTAAGTATAAATAATAAGAGATGTAAGAAAGGAATAGAATACATGAGAAATTAAAAATAAAGTGTTCCTGGCAGAATGGTCCACAAAAATCTTGATGGAGGAGGTCATATTGAGCTAATACTTGAGAGAAATGTAAGCATTTAAAGTGTAGAATAATGTGAAATAATCTTATGTAAGGTAGAGAAAGTGTGGGATAAGATAGGTTAATCCCTGGGGCAAACATTAAAAAAATAAAACAAAGAAGCCAACATAAAAAGAGAATATAAAATTGAATACAAAACTAAACAACTCAAAAGAAGGCAGAAAAGGAGGAACAATGGAAGAAAGAATGTATGAGACAAATAAAAGACAAATAACAAGAAGGTAGACTTAAATCCAACCATATCAATAATTGCATTAATTGTAAATGGTCTTAAATTCTTCAAGAAAAAAACAGATTGCTGAACTGGATTGAAAAATGAAAAAACACAGAACAATTCTATGCTATTTATAAAAGAAAATTTAAAGATATATGCCGGTTAAAAATAAAGGATGGCAAAAGATATATCATGCAAACACTAATTAAAAGAAAGTTGAGATAGTTTTTTTAATACCAATGTAGACTTTAAGGCAATAAGTATCACTAGAGATATAGGAATATTTCATAAAGAGGGTCAATTCATTGAAAAGACATAACACTCATAAACATGTATGTACCTAATAACAGAGTTTCTAAATTCATGAAAAAATCTGGCAGAATTAAAAGGAGAAATAGACAAATTCACAATTGTAGTTGAAGAATTTAACATTTGTAAGACTAATAGAATATTAATATTAACATCCTATTAATAGAATAGAATAATTTAATCAATAAGTGATCATTTTCAGTAATATAATTTTTAAAAATTGACTCTACAATTAGAAAAATATCTCAATATATAATATAATATATAATAATAACAGACACTACAGTTATTATTATATATTAATACTCTACAGTTATAACACTACTATAATAACTGACACTACAATTAGAAAAACTGTATCCCTCAGTAATTGATACTGCAATTAGAAAAAAGATACAGAAAATATTTGAATAATATGAAAAACTAACTTGACATAATTTACTTACATAAAACCTATACAAAATTACTGCAGAATACACATTATTTTCAAGTGCACATAAATATGTACCATGATAGACAATACTTTCAGCTATTGTCATAATATTTCATGGAACTCTCCCTCACCCTTGCCAAATGCTATTCAGACATCAAAAGGAAAAGAACTCAAAATATATAATTGTGCTTGGCAATTAGGAATTCATTTGTGATTTTAGCGAAAGTAGTATCGATGAAATATTGAGGGCTGGAAACCACGTTATAATGGACCAACGCTTGAATGAAAGGTAAAGATGAAGAGATCATGAGGATAGCTGTTTCTCTTAGGAAGTTTGACAGTGAAAGGAAGAGAGAGTGAATAGGGGTGGCAGAGGAGGACTTATTTTTGTTTTAAAATATAAGAGAGGTAAACACGGTTTCTGGATGAAAAAAAGGAGCCAGTAGAGAGAGAAAGGAAAAGGAGAGAGAATAATCTGCGGAGAAAGGTCTTGGGTAATTCAGAGTGGGAGGAAATCAAGAGCAGAGATGGGCAATTGGCCTTTGATATGATCAGGGAAAGCTTTTCCCCTTAAGGAGTAGGAAAAATAGATAAAATAGATGTAGAGGGTGCTTCACTTTAAATGATAAACAGGTATAGAAAACTACTATACACTGCATAGTAATATTTGTAACTAAGGTACAGTGCAAAAAGCATGCTTTGTGATAAGAGATCCTCAAATGTTTTAAATCACATTCACATAAAACTGACTCCCTTATATGTTTGTTTCTTTCCTTTTTTGTTTTTTTTATTGGGGGGTGGAGTTTAGAGAGTGGGGAAAGGCAGGAAAGGTGGAGGACAGGAGAGGTAAAGTGAACAAAAAATAAAAAAGCAATTCTCAGAAAAAGGAACCTAATAGCAAAGAATATATGAAAGGATCTTCATCCAACCTAGTAATTAAATAAATATAAATTCAAACAATGAAATACTATGCTCTGCCCCATAAGATCAGAAAAAAATTTCACATGTCACTGAGGATGTGTATACTCTAAAATTTTTACACCCTGCTAGTGGTAATTTAACTTGATTTAACCCCTTTAGAAAGTAGTAATTTGGCAATTTCTAGGGAAGTTTAAGATGGATGGATGAAACATATTATTGCTCAAAAGGATCTACTCCCTCCCTTGGGAAAGGATTGTGAGTCTTCACTCATTTCCATATGTCTGGCCATCCTGCACTGTAGAGGTAGTATATTTCCCTGCCCCATTGACTAGGATTTGGTCAAGTGATTTAAGTTGACCAATTGAATATGAGTATACATGGGTACCCCTTCTACGAACAGAAGCTGTTGAAGTCATTGCAAATTTTTGTCAGCCTCCTGCCCATTATTTCCATGAGAAGGGTATACACTGGACAGGAGCTGTTTCCATCCCAGCTGCAACAATTTGAATAAAATCTTTTTAGAATTTCTGTAGTGATTTTAGAGTTATAGACTTTTTGGTGAAGAATTCTTTTTTTTTTTTTTTTAACCTGTAAGGAAAATGAAAACAAAGTCCTAATATATCACACAAATATGTTTATTACTTAAATGTTTATAAATTATAAGATTTTACTTATGAATAAAAACATTTCTAGAAAATGTTACACATTTTGTAATAATGTTTGTAACTGGTTTCAGGCACATAGTGCAAAATACTTCTTTTCTGATACAGAGATCCCTAAATGTTTATCTAACCACACTGGCACAAAATTGCTTTAGTACCTTATATGGTACAATATACCCCTAATAAATCTTTGAAAAAGAAAAACTTTGTGGGCAAAACTAGTACACTACTATTTACTGGCAAAAATCTATTAGTAGATTCAGTTTTCTTGGTTTATAAAGTAGGTTGCCATAGAAAAATATTATTTGTCTATGATTCTTTTAAAATCACATTATTATATAATACACAAATTATTCACCTGAAAAAAATCTCTTAATACCTGAGAATTTGTCCATGAATAGTTAATTTTTATACTATCTTTTATGTTCTGGTTTTGAGATACCTCAGATATGAAATAACTTGAACGTCTCTAATAAAAATTTTGCAAATGTAAACATAATTTTATGTTTACCAAAATAGGATCTTCAACATGTCAATAATTCTCAATTTTCTACTTGATTAATAAAATACAGTACTTAACTGTGAGAAAATTAATTTTTTAAGAGTAGACATATACATATATAAGATCTGTAAAGACATGATAGAATATACACATTATAAAAACAATGTATTGCTCTTATAAGTACAATCAAATTAGAGGTAGGTGTTTTAAGTCAAATCCTACTATATCATATCTTCTTCTGTATTATTCCCACAAAATTTCATATTTAGTGTTTAACCAAAGCATATATTTTAAATACAAAATTATACCATATTTTAGGATGATTTTTTTCAAGCACCATAATGCACAATTAAAAATTAAAGGAAACATAAAACAAAGTATCTAAGCTGTATCAGTAGAAAGTATAATGGCTATGTACTTTTTTTGATGTGACTATTGATTTGCTATTCACCTGACAGATTCAATATGTTTATCGCAGTTTTAAATAAGTTCATTTTCCTAATTTTTACTTGCTCCATTTTAACAAGTAGAATAAACATTCATTGTACAGTAGGATACCAGAGCAGAGATTTACATGTGTGTTTATAGGCATAAGGTAATTGTGGTCCAGTCCAAGCTGTTAACAGCAATATTATCTTGGTATAATTCAAGCATCCCTGTATACCCTACCATAAATTACTATATCCTTTTAAGGATCCAGATTAGAATCACATATCGCTCAGTTTATTTTGAAGGCCTTGAAAAATTAAGCAGTGATGTGACTCCCTGATGAGCGCCCTGAAAAAAAGGCACAGACATTTTAGACATGGAAATCTCAGGAAGGGAAGGGTAAAGAAACAAGCACCAGCTATTTGCAGTTTCCAGAGAATGTCTCCTCTTTGGGACACACTTCCCACTTCTGAATGTTCATATTACTTGAATTGGGAGACCAGTAGTCATGTGAGGAATACACTTTCCACAGAACCCTCCACATCTGCCGTAGACTTTGGTTCCATCCTGAAAATAGGAAGAGGCAGAGATACAGGAGAATCTGTTACAAGCTAGTATCTGCGTGCACAGGGCAGAAAAAGCAAATGCTTTGAATCATGCGGTTGAAATAATTAGCCAAGGTTTCATACAACAATTACACTTGAGGTCAAAGGTCATGCCATTTCAGGATTAGTTGAAATTTGTGGTCATGGGAATTAGATAATGTGAGATTCATATTATCTACTTAATGATTATAAACCACACTCTAATTTAGACAATTCATCTCAACCCACTTATTTTTCAACAAGATATCTATTTGCTTCAGTGAGTTTATTAAAACCTCTCCCAATCTGTTGTCCAGCATTGCCATGATTTTATATAAGATTCTCACAGACTAAAAAAAAGATAGTATGCAAACTTGACCTTAACTGAATCCAAGCCATATTAACCTCAAATATCTCCTGGAAGCATTAGAAACACAGCCTGAGGAAAATATTTAGAAGGTGATAAAATGGGGGGGCGGGGAATAAAACTGGACTGAAAGCAGGAATTATAATTAGACAAGGACTAAAAAGGGAGATTCTTCTTTTTTTTAGGAAAGCAGAGCTGCTTACTGAGGAATGGCTGGTGAAGAAGGTGGTCAGGACAAGCTAGATTTTCTTTCCAAACTGTCTTCCGTCTTTAGGTCCAAAAGTCAAAAGGCATTTTGATAGGATAAAGCAAAACTAGCTTGAACTCCTGTAGTTTCTAGAAAAGGTAAGTTTTGCTTTGTTTTTGTTTTTTTAATCTAAGGAAGGAGGGTAGAGAAGGAAACTTTGGGTTCCTGGAACTTTTGAGGGTGAACAATATGTTGAGATCGGGGGCTTTTGAAGTTGCCTCTCCTTTCAAAAGCTTTCTAAACTCTAGAGAGTCTGAGTAAACAGAGAAAGGAATGGCAGTAAAAATTCCAATTTATATACATTCCTGTTCGCAAACGAATCGTATAAGTAAACCCCTAATCTTGCTTAAATTTAATGGGAAATGAAAATATGTGTGCATTTCCATAAGTACATTTGGGTTTCACAAGTCTCATTTTCACACCAGGCAATAGATCTCAGGAAATACCTTCATGTGCAAAATTTTTGATTGAGGGAGAAACTCTCAATTAAATAAACAAATAAATAATCTTTAGAATAGAACTTAAATAGAAGCAAAAGTAATGATTATACTAAATATTCATTTTTACTGCTGCCCTCAGCCAGATCTCATTTAACCAAAAGATACCTAAAAGCTGTATAAAGTCAGAATATCTCATTGCACTCTCTAAATTTTCTACTTGCTCAGAATATACTCTAACTAGGTAATTAATTTATTTCCATTCTTCTACCAAAAGGGATTAGACCAAAATTTGCCAAATAAATATTTAGAAATAGCCATTTTTAAAAAGCCTACTGCTTGCCCATATGATAGAAATAATAAAAATTTAAATTCTTTAATTATAAATTGAAACACAACTTCATAATATTCAGAAATATAATGTTTTAGTCTCTGATTATTAGAAAATTGAATTTCATTTATAAGTAGTATTCATATAAATAGGAGTGTAACAGAAGTCACGTTTATCAAAAGAAAGAAAAATGATAAAACCTTAGAGTGGGCAGGGGGTTGTTGATGGTGCTGATTTATGTGCAGTATAGGTGAGGACACTTATAATGTAGATCCTGATTTACTATAGTTAGAATCATGCTATCTAAGACATGGGAACTCCAAGTACTAGAAGCCATCTCATAAAGAGTATGCGCTAGTACACCATACCAGCATCAAAATTAAATGGATTCTACTTTAGATAATACATGTGCTATAGGTAAAAACCAATACCAATGTGCTCTAGATAAAGGTAGACAGAGGAAAATATGCATACAACCATAAAAAATATTCCTAATTCTTGAAGAACCTATAAAGGATATTTGTTAAATGACAAATGGCTCCAACCTCAGCTCCATCACTAAATCAAAGTAGTGAGGTAAATAAACCAAAAAGTTACCTCTCACTTTGAAATATTAAAACCTACAAACCTTTAATAATTAGAGTATAGCTAAAAGCACTACCTCTTTTTGAAGTACCTGCATTTCAAGCCATCAACCCCAAACTTGAGCTACTTCAATCTATATGCTCTGGCATTTGATTTCATGTTCAGATATATGTAGGCTAAACATGAATGTGTATGTATATAAAACCTACATAAGCACATGAATAAAAATGAACCCAATTCCATAATTTCATAAATTAATGTTATATTTCATTATATGTAATATAGCCCATCATATGCAATAACGCATTAGTCATTAACTTCATATAACTCTAAATTTAAAGTAGAGGACCTTTAATGCTAGTTCACAGCACAGAAGTATTTCAGACAGAGTTTTTGGTCCAGCAGGACTTACTTGTGATCTGTGAATGATGACAGAGGCATAAGTGCCCTGAGCAAGCCACTTTGCTGTACTGGATATCTTCATTCCAGTTCCAGCCAAATTAATGCTGAATTGTCCCTGGATTGAAAACAAAACAAAATAAAAATAGATGGAGTTCATACAATATTTAAGCATCCACTTTGCTGGAAACACCTGCATTGGAATTATGTAAGAAAGGACTCGAATTGGTTTTCAAGATTCTTTCTTTAGAAAATGAAAGAATATTGATACAACCTTACACTAAAGAAAATGAACAGGCTAAAGACTTTTTAAATTGATTACAAATAAGTCTTCTCAATTACAAGAGACAACTGAAATAATACCAGATAATGTTATTTGTGCAAAAGTAATTCTGTCCAACACTAGGACTCTAGGGTTGACAGCTAGAGCTTATGCTCCTGTAGCAACAGCAAGTCCAGTCAGAATGGGTGTTCACAGGGATTGATACCAACCAGACTTTAACATTTCTCCAGTTTCAATTTTTGACCCCTTGTTGCTAATTTCCCTAAGTTACACCTGTTTAATGTATTTCCTAGAATCTTCTGTTACTGTGCCCTTACCTTTTGTGTTAAGAATGTTACTTTTTAACCTACCACACAAAACTACTGAATGTGATATTATTGCCCCAGCTACCATGTGCTTTTAAGAGCCCAGAAGTGTTATGTGGACGTCTGATGCCACATGATTTACGCACATGGTATGTGAGCCCCCTAGTGGCTTTATGATCAAATTATTTTCAAGACACAAGAACCAGTTTCATGTCAAAATATTCCAGACTATCTCTGCTAAAAATTAAACTTTAGGGCTTCCCTGGTGGCGCAGTGGTTGAGAATCCGCCTGCCAATGCAGGGGACACGGGTTCAATACCTGGTCCGAGAAGATCCCACATGCCGCGGAGCAACTAAGCTTGTGCGCCACAACTACTGAGCCTGCACGCCAGAGACCGTGCACTGCAGCAAGAGAAGCCACCACAATGAGAAGCCCGTATGCAGCAACGAAGACCCAACACAGCCAAAATTAAATAAATAAATTTATTTAAAAAAAACTTTAAATATCTGTTAATTAAGAAAGTGCCTGACTAAAATTGGTAAAATTTGTGGCACATGTATATGATCTTGCAGTACAGAATTATACACTGAAAAGCTGAAGTACTTAATGAAAGCTAATTAAGCCTACTGCCAATGTTTAATATACATACAGATTTAGAGCGATATTAGGACAATCTTAGATCACATCACAATATCCTATGGCCTAAGACTCAGGAATCTTGAGCAAGACAGTGATAAAACATTAAAGATTATGTTATGTCAATGAAAATATTATCTTGTCATGAAAGCAAACTAAATAGATTTCAAATATATTTATAATATGAATTATTACAACTGCTAAAAAGTTATGTATCAGTTTAGTTTATTAAGTTAGATTTCTTAGGAATCTTATATACTTCTTATTTAAAATCAAAATAGAGATTCAAATACATTTATAATACAATGATAATATATGGAGAATTTTCCCCAAAATAGAAATAATTTGTTTTAGATAAATTTCAAAGAAAATTAATTGTTATATACGTCATTTGGTTATGAAATTTAGAATATGACCTGTATGTGTGCTTCATTGCTGTATTCCTAGAGTCCAAAAGAAGGCCTAGGCACTCAGTAAGTGTTTTTAAATGGATGAATGAAGTGCAACATTATAAATATTAAATTTTAGCATTGTAAAAGTTAATACACAAATACACAGCTAAACCCTTCATGCTCGTGATAATGAATGACACTAACGCTACACACATCAGAATTTTATATTAGTAAATATTTGAATGAGAAGAAGTAATTCTAAGGATATATTCTACTGGTTAATACTTAGTCATCTCATACAGGTTTTGCACTGAATACCTTCATCCCACCTTAACTCATAAATAGGCCTCTCACCAAATAAAAGAAATGGAACTATATTCTGTGGTGTAGGTTTCCTGTGACTAGCCACTTACTGAGTGCCCCAGTTGGGGGAATGCAATGTTTTCACAACCTGATAGTCTACACTTCCATTTATTCTTTACCTCCCTGCTCAAGGTTGCTTGGAAGCATTCAGCTGGAAAGGAAAGACAAAAATCCAACTGACTACAGTACTGAGAGACTTAGGTGGTCATTAACACAATGAGTTGGGCCTAGAAATATCTGCTGCTTCATTTCTCCAGACTAATTTTCATGATCTTTGTTTACATCTTTAGTCCTTGTTCAAAAGCTACATAATACAATCTCAAAGAAATGGCAAAACAATTCAACTGAACTCTGGGATGATATTGACAGAGGTAAAAATACACTTCACTCATTTGTTCTAAATTAACTGAGTGGCAGGCTTGGTATGAAGCACTACTGCAATACAGAGAGAGGTTTTGCTCTAGGTTTGAGAAGTGAAGCACAGATTGGTGGTTGCCAGAGGTAGGAATTGGAGGGGGAAATGGGTGAGGGTGTTTTACAAGATAAATAAATCCTGGGGATTAATGTGCAATATGGTAACTATAGTTAAGTATACTGTATTGTATATTTGAAAGTTGCTAAGAGAATAGATCTTAAAAGTTCTCATCACAAGAAAGAAAAAATTGTAACTATGTGAGGTGATGGATGTTAACTAAAACCATTGTGGTAATAATTTTTCAATATATACATAGTCAAATAATTATGTTGTACACCTTAAACTAATACAATGTTTAATGACAATTATATTTTAATAAAATGGAGGAAACTAAATCTGATATACACATAAATAAATGTGATGCAATGTAGAGAATCATAGGTGCCATAAGAAAGGTACTGGTACATTCCTATGGAACTTTAGAAGTAATAAATGATTGAATAATTGTATTAATTACTTATTTCAATTCCATTACTTTATTTAAGATTAAAATTTAAACCTCCTTAAACCTAATATTTAACTTGAAAAATTAGTTCAACATAGTATCAACTAAAAAATATGGTTTTTTGAAGTAGTATGAAGTTTATCTCCTCTTGTACTCTCGACATTTTTTAGAAGAGGCCATCATAAGAAGTAAAATTCTAACAGCCAAATCACAAGTGGAAGGTAAGGTGATTCATAAGACCTAAGAATTCAACAGATTGGAATGTCTGCCCTTGAGTAATTAGCTGCATCAAAGGAAAAAGTAGTTATGGATACAAGGCAGAGGGAAAGCACAGAAATAGATGCAAGTTTTAATGTTCCACTTCTTTGATTGACTGGTTGGTTCATATGTGCCCATTATATCACTAGGTTTTACAATTTTAAAGTTTGTTCCACATATTTTATTATGAATGGGATCTACAGATAGCAATTCCAATGAGAGAACTGATTCTAAAATTTATATTGAAAGACAAAGAAATTAAAATAATTAAAACAAGTTTGAAAAAAAATAAATTTGAAGGGCCCACACTACCTTGTTTCTTTTCTTTTTTTTTTTTTTTGTGGTACGCGGGCCTTTCACTGCTGTGGCCTCTCCCGTTGTGGAGCACAGGCTCCGGACACGCAGGCTCAGCGGCCATGGCTCACGGGCCTAGCTGCTCCGCGGCATGTGGGATCTTCCCAGACCGGGGCACGAACCCGTATCCCCTGCATCAGCAGGCGGACTCTCAACAACTGCACCACCAGGGAAGCTCCACACTACCTTGTTTTAACACTTATTATAATAAAGCTATCATAAGCAAGACAGTGCTGTGTTGGTGAAGAGAGAGACATGTAGATCAATGGAACAGAAGACAGAGTCAGAAATAGACCCACATAAATATGTGCTATATATATATATTTTGGCCTCACCACATGGCATATGGGATCTTAGTTCCCCGACCAGGGATCGAAGCCATGCCCCTGCATTGGAAGTGTAGATTCTTAGACACTGGACCACCAGAAAAGTCCCCTCCAATTGATTTTTGACAAAGGTGGAAAGGCAATTTACTGGAGAAAGCACTGTCTTTTCAACAAGTGGTGTTAAGACAACTGGATGTCTATAGGCAAAACCCTTACAACTTCATAAAAAATTGGTTCAAAATCAGTCATAAGTCTAGATGTAAAGCATAGAACTATAAAAAAATGTTTAAGAACACATAGAAGAAAATCTTTGTAACCTGGAGTAAGTCAAAGGCTCTTAAATATGACACTAAATGTACGACCCACAAAGGAAAAAAATGATAAATTTGACTTCATTAAAATATAAAACTTCCACTCTGTGTAAGACAATTAAGAGAAAGAAAAGATAAGGTCCAGACAAGGAGAAAAAGACTTGGAAATGTTATATACAACAAAAGACTTGTAACCAGACTATGTAAAAAACCCTCAAAACTAAACAGTAAGGAACAATAAGGAAACAAACAACCTAATTTTAAAAATGAGCAAAAGACTTGGGCATACACTTCACCAAAGAGTATATACAGATGGAAAATAAGCATATGAAAGATACTTAACATTATTATCCATTAGTGGAATGTAAATTAAAACTACATTGAGCTACCACAGAAGATGGGAAAACAAACAAAAAACTTGACAATACTAAGTGCTGACAAGGAAGCTAATCAACTAGAAATTTAATCTTTGCTGGTGGGAATAAAAAACGGTACAGCCACTGTATCAAACAGTTTAGCAGTTTCCTATAAAGTTAAACATACACATATCATGTGACCCTACAATCTCACTCATAGGCATTTATCCCAGAGAAATGAAAATATACGTTCACACAAAAACCTGTATGCAAATGTGCATCTCAGCTCTATTCATAATCTCCAAAAACTATAAACAACTCATTTTCTTCCAACAAATGAACAAACTGTAGGACAGCTGTATGACATCCATTTGATGGAATAATGCTCAGAAATAAGGAAGAAAAAATTATTGACACATGCAAAAACACAGATGGGCCTCAAAGGCATTATGTTGAGTGAAGGAAGTCAATCTCAAAAGGTTACATATTGTGTGATTCCATTTATAACACATATCTATGTCATCCCAGAAAATGCAAAACTAAAGCAACAGAAAAAAGATCAGTGTGTACCAGCAGTTAGGTGGGAGGGAGGAACTGACTCCATGGAGGAAGT